TCACGCAATGGTTTGTATATCATTGGCAGTGATAGCACCACACTGTATATTGAAAACGTTACAAAGTAGGTCGTAGTATAACCAGCTCAACTAAAGCGTATTTTATTTTGAAACAACAGTTTGAGTCATTTTCCCACTTTTGAGTACTGGGAACCTCCAGCTGGCATCTTACAACCGGTTCCCTCACACCCAGCTCCCCCCCGAAATGCAAACTTTGGCCAGACTAGATGGTATACAAACAACATTTCTTTTTAAGAAATTTACAGTTCTAGAGATATGACCTCACGCTTTTTTAATGCACTGCTTCCTCATGGAAAATTGTCACACAAAATGTAAATACAGAGAGTAAGAGACTTCAGAATTAGTACTGACCATTTCCCCAGCATCACGCTGAGATTCTGGTGGACTCCCAGGTACAGGGAGCCATTACACTCAAGCCACTTCACACCGTGAGCCTGAGTAGGCAAGCAATGAACAATGATTCAAAAGATGTTTTTACAACATTTTATTCTATTAAATATGAAAGAGCGTACATACAGGTGTTATTCCGAGGACATAAATTACACAAGGATTACACGTTCTGTCAGAAAAGCACAATAATGAAACATCTTTACATTTCAAAATTTCTTGTTAGCTTTTAACAAATGAGTCTATTTCTGTTGCAAACAAGTAATGAGTGCTATTGAACTTCTGCAAATTCCCACAAAAACATCATGCTTAGTAGGATACTTTAAATATTGTAAAGATGAAATCAGAATTAGATTTCTAAATAACAAGATGGAGGAGATTTTACTACTTAATCAAGGTAAATGACACACTGAAATAGGAGCCGAGACAAAACTGGTCATTCATTAAAGAAAAATTCCGCTTCAGACACTACATTTGAGTCTGCTCTCTTTACTTGCAGGAATAGTCATGGTGATTATATGCACGAGTAATGAGCAGACCTGGCCCTAAGTTTTTATAAACATAGCCATCAAATTTTAGACGTGCTGGTTTTCTAGTTCACTAATTTTTCCACCGAAAAAACCCCCACACCCACGAATCTATTCGCTTATGGTTCAAGAGGCTGAAACCCAGCTCTTCTGCAGAAAGCCAGTCAAGCCTCAGCACGATTTCCATGTCTTCCACGGTCTTCTGCAGAGGGGGGTACTGCACCCTACGCGTATGAAGTACCAGACTGAGTCACCACCGACTTGTGAGAGCAGTACTGGAAGTCCTAATACAACGATTTTTAAACTTCAGGTAAACAGAAATGTAGTTCTACCATAATGAAAGCTCTCAGTTCAACATTCAGAGGACTACTCAGATAAAATACGTCATAAGCATGTCGTTCAGGTTGTGTTGCTAGGGATTAACTGAGGTGTTCTAATATATTAATACGAACATTAATGGAGTGAAACAGACAAGCTAGTGTTACTGCAGGTTGTAGCTTATTTAATTTTCAAAAGGAGTAATGAAACACAATTCCTAAGAATAGTAATTTTTGTAACTAAGGACTTCATGTTTATTTTTAAAACCACAGAAGTGGGGTAATATTCCTGATATCTTTCAAAACATTCTGCAAAAACACAGCTTGACCCTGCAAACTCTAGAATATATAAGCAGTCCCAGTGACCTCCAAGGTAAGCATTCTCACACAGCAAAGAACTGCAGGAACTCTTTGCTTTTTTTCAGAGAATGCTCAATGAAAGTGCAATACAGTGAAGCAAATAATCTGATTATTATGCTTTTATTATTAGATGAAAAATGTTCAGATATTTTACAATTGTGCCTTTTGTAGGGTGGGCATTCTGGTTGGAGTAGAGTCAGACCTCATTAGGAGAGACGGGCAGGGTCCACCCACACATTTTCTTTCTCAAGGCGGAAACGCCCCAAGGCAGTCCTATTGTATAATCCCATCTACAGCTAGAACACTGCGCTGCCCAGCCTCGCACTGCTATTTCTGCTTTGACAAAAGCTGACATTTGTTTTGCTTTTCATTTCCATCCTGGCATGTTCTCCCTTTCAGCTCCTAGGCACCCTTCCTTTCCCCACCCAGCCTCTTTTCTTCCTGAGATGTCAGAAATACGCACATTGAGCTTTAGAACCTGAGAATTTGGAGGTATTTTTTGATACTAGAGGGCTGCATTTGTATCATATCATGTTATCTCCTGCTATACTATTACAGTTACAACATGAATCTTCTAACTAGTTGATACCTGATGCTTTTCCCATATAAATAAAAAACAACGTACCACTAACATATGACACTTGCTATAAAAGTGACCTTTACCTTCCGCATGTCCTCTTTTCCAAACAAATCTTGAGGGATCATTTCCAAAAACCCAGCTATGAAATATTCCTTGAATTAAACAATTTCACAGTAAAATAAAGAAAAGTATATCCAGAAAATAGCATTCTCTCAAAATTAAAACTTATATACATCAAGAAGAAGTTGAGATTTTTCCTCATTCTTGTATCAGTTCTACATTACCTGTAGATAAGCAACATTATCACTAAGAGTTATGAATAGGAAAAACAAGTCTAGTGAAGGAAGTGTCATGTCTTTTCTAACACTCTAGAGAGATCAAGGAAATTCAGCATTCAACTTCATTATTACAATTATTTTTAATTATGGTAGCAAAAGACTGTTTAAGCTTAATTCCCTATGGCTTTCAGTATGCAAGACTTAGATCCTTCAATGCATTCTAGCCACGTCACTGCACTTATAATCACCTCTGGGTACAAATTAAGTTCTCCGTGGATGGGATTCAACCATGAACTCACTGTTTATCCTTCTTGTTTTCTGATTTGTTTTATAATTCTTAATAGATTAAGCTGGTTCAGTATTTACCACAATTTTGATGCTGTACTTGAACGAGACTGAGCTTTAGCTGAAACTATAATGCACATACATGTATATAAGAACTTGTAAGCTGTTTAACAGAACAGAAATACTTAAAACATCAAAATTTTACTCGAACATTCATTTACTTACCAAGAATGTACACTGAAAAGATGCCAATAAGTGTTCTTTAATTTTGCATACGAGACTTAAACTAAAGAAACACTCCTCTGGATCCATTATAGTTAGCTTTTTTTCCTATGGAGTGGAAAATTGCCACTCAAAACTTACACATCTTTGGACAGCTAGTGAGCTCTGATGAACTATTTTCAGCATTCCTGTCTGTCAGTCAGAACTTTTGATGAAATTAGTATTCTACATTGCATGTTATGGAATGCTATATCAACAGCTTGTATTTTTATCTTTTGGGTTTTTTTCCCTACCTTCCTGAGGTCTAATTCATGGCAACTTCCATGAGAAAAGATAACTGGAGTGAGGTTCTTATGTCCAAGTGTATCTGTTTTAAAGAGAAAGATTATTCTCCATTCATACCCAACAAGTATTCTAGCCATTAGCCCTGAGGAAGTCAATAACAAGTGACAAATCACTGTTTTCAACAATTTCACTCCAGGACTATTTCGAATTGTCATGGTTTTTGAAAAGGAAGAATAGATTTTTCTAAAAAAAAAAAATAAAGTGCTTTCCTGTAAGAAGCAGTATTAAACTTGTAAACTGTGAACTTGACTCATGCTAAACAATGCCTGACAAGTGCAAACCCATGAACAGAACGCAATCATTAAATACTTTGATGACACATCCAACTCAAACACTTGCAGCCCAGGTTTTTAAGGTCATCTAAATGCCAAAGGTACAGATAGGCATTTTTTAAATCACTTCTCAACAATAACCTGCCTAATTCTGATTGACTGAAAAGCCTAAACTTTCTGGCAATCTGCTAGATGCCTGTCTGTACATTTAAGTTTTTAAGTGAACTTAAAAGCTGGTGCATAGTATGGTAACAAAGACTGCTCACAAATTCAGCCACCTGCAGACAAAGCCATTTCTGCCACGCAAAGGACTTTTTTAAAAAAAAGAAACTCAGCAATAATTTTCCACTGTTTGACTTCTACACAAGCCTAAACTGTCTCCTGTTCTGTGAGAAAAGACAATCAAGATCTAGAAATGTTTGCTGGAGCGGGTGGAGGTGGGGAGCTGGAAGCCGATGCTGGCCTCTGGGGTTTCCTGGTGGAAGAAGCTGTAAAGCATGGCTGCATCATTGTGCTGCTGCATGTACAGATGGTACGCAGCATTGTCAAATTTTAATAACGGGCTTTTAACAATTGGGACAGTTTCGAGAATGACCTTTCAATTTAATTAAAGCTGTAAAATGGTTTCACATTTCTGGGATTAACCTTTTTAAATGGAGACGGATGTTCCAGAAAGGGATTAGAGTACAAATGAATGGTCCCTCAATTTAGAAACTAAGCAGCTGTAAAAAGAAAGTTACAATTTTGAAACATAACTAAACTGGTCGATTGTATAGTTTCTTGCACTGACTTTTAAATGATGCTAAAATACTGCAATATTTTGAGTCACTTAAAGATCTGCTCAGTGTAGCTTGATTTATGTTTCCAATACAAAATAGGTTACTACCATTTACTTCAAAAAACCCCACTTGACTTGTTTTGTGAGTGGGTAATTTAAATGTAATGGACAGTAAGATCACTTTTAACTTTGCATTAAATTGCATCAACCTTCCTGCATACATAAGCTTGTGATTTCCACATTTCACTCCCTCACTGGCAATTGAAATGTCTCAAGTTAGAATTATGTGTTGATTATACGTTGATATACACTAAATACAGGGTACATAAGAAAAATCTCAGCATGTTTTTTACAGGGCACCCAACTAAAATCTTTACAAAAGATAAGGTAGTTATCCATTCTTCAATGTAACAGACACAGATGCCACTTTTATAAATGTACCCTTACGTTCATTCGCCAATAAAATAGCAAACAAATCAACTTTTTCAACCATTTTTCATAAATTATTAAAGTATTTTTAGTGACACTCTCCAACAATATACAAAAATAATACTACAAGAGTACCAATCAGTCTGACCTACCCCTCATTTCACAGAAAAGTAGAGGTTATGGAAGGATGTTCTTGTCATCAGTCGTCGCTGTAGATGTCTCCTGCAAACGGCAGGTGTACGTGGCTGCCTGTGACATTGGGAAGTCGAGAGAGATCAGGCAGGTTCTGGATGCGTGACCTGAGTTCTTTCCGTACTTGGGACACTCTGGCTAGCTTGCGTTTGTACTCCTGTAATGCAGAAGAATTCAATATGAGGCTCTTTTGCTAATACCATCCCCACTATTTACTGCACTTGACATTTTCTAAAGACTGTATTCCTTCTGTGAGTTAGATGACTAAATATCCATTAATAGGTGAGAGCCCAGAGAAGTGAGTATTCCGGAGGCAGAGGCATCAGCTCTAGCATCTTCTCAGCATCTGACTTTGGACGCAGAGCCATGGGATTTTTTTGCTTTGAATTCTAAGTACCTAGATGCTAAACATGGCAGGCAATCCCAGTTCACACAACTATACACGTTTCTCCATGTGACTAGCAGAATGGAATCATTCTTAGAAACTGTATTAAAGGACAATCGATACACGTACTCTACTATCACTTACAGAGAACAGGAGGATAAACTTACTGGTGTCAAAGAAGTTACTTGCAGCTCACACTGATGAAAGAATAAAAAACAACCAAATATACCACCTAACTAGGCCTGTTGATCAGCCCCACCAAGCTGACCAATCAGAAGTATTTTGTATTAACTTTTATAATAAAACCCACATTGCATCAGTGTATTTATGGATCTAACCCTGAGTTTTCAGAAATGTTTTGAACTGAAGACTTAGCATTTCATATTCTTTTGGAACACAGGTCAAACCACTCATAATTCATATATTTAATGATTATGAGGCACTTTTCACATGAAACAACATTATACAATATTTAACATTGTAAGCCAGCGCACTAGAATATGGTGAGGGCTCACCTATTCAGAATATGAGACATAATGGAGACAAATACCAGCTTGTATAAAATGAAAACAGTTATTCCAAAATGTAGGAAGATCAGGGTACAATTTACAAAAATATTTACATTTAAAAAACTTGGAAGCACATTTCTTTGGAGAGCAGAAGAGACTAAGCATTACAAGGCAACTGGCGCTTCATGGAAATACACTATAATTCACAACACATCAAACACAGATGCTTTCTAGTGCGGCTTCAGGTTTTGCTGCAGCCTGGGAATGGCTGGAAATCACAAGATAATAATAGTTAACCTACAATTTGGATAATCATCCCACGGATAACCAAAATCTCACGATTATAACCACTTCTAAATAACAGTGGGGAAAAAAAAATCTACATCATCCTGTAAAAGTGCCAAATACAAACACTTGAAAGTTCCAGCAAATATAAAAACACTCTGCAAATGTCTATAAAAGATAACAATCATGTTATTTGCAAGGTCTAAACATAATTTTAAACATTTTTCTATACTGTTAGTAGCATGGAGTAAAAAGGAAGGCCAATGAAAAGACCTTTTGGTAGCAGAACCTAATTCAGTAGCACAAAAGTTGAATACCTGGGGCGTGATCATGATTATTGGACAATGTCCAACACACTCTTAGCAGCAATGTAGTTTTCTTACCAAGGGCAGTAATCACAAGAAAAAAATCAAATCTTTACATAGAAAGAGAGAAAAAAGTGTTCCTGAATTAGGATCATCAATTCCTTGATATCATTTCTATTTAAAAATTAAATATTACATATTTTTCAGTCTTATGAGACACTAAGCACAGTGAAAATACTACAGATGCCTACTCAGCAGAACTGTAAACACTTGGTGACAATACACAGGGCAAAGCAGCACTGCTTTTACAATACAGACGACCAAAAGAGCCTTACAACTGCAAGTCCCTTGGTCCTAGGAAAACCATCATTTGCTCGCTCTTGCCCAAAACAGTCTCTCTGGCGCAAGTGACTTCAGGACATGGCTGTGGAAATGAAGGGCTGTATCCTGACACTGTATCCTTACAACAAATGCCCAAAGGCCACAAATACTTTACTGTTTCATATCTAATATTACAGCAGCATCCAGAGGCCTCAGTGAGCTGATTCTGTGCGAGAGTCATCGTTCTTTGCCAGCACGTAAAAAGCCCGTAACAGAAGACTTATTGTACTTTTTACTATCTATTTTAGTCCAGTTTGCAGAGGTATACTCCTGACTATTATTTTAGGGAATATATTTTATTGTCAGAGGAAAAGATAAGTTTTATTGTTTAGTAAAACAATTTGGCAATACGCAGAACACTAGTTAACCTGAATCACTGTTTTCAGAAGCAGGATGGCTGGAGACCGAGCATGGGGCAACAAGGGCTTTGAGCAAGCCTGAAGCTAGGAGACCTGGCCTCCGTGGTGAAAGACGTACTGCTGTACAGATGAGGATGAGTAGAACTGTAAGCAAAACCAAAGCACTCAAAAGGCCCAAAACTAGCAAAAAAAAAATTAACTACACCATTAAAATTCCCTTCAGCTGATAATAAATCATTTCCATAGTAACACCACATTTCTGACATCCAGCATTTTCCATATAAATTTTGCCTGCGACTTGTTGCCTAGTGAGTACCAGCTTGATCAGTATTACTGACAGCAGGTACCTTTTTCTGACTAAGGAAAATGATCTCATAAATTTGGTCTCCCATACGATACAATCTTCCTCCTCTCACTAAAACCTTTAGGATAATGCACTCTCAGGGAGTTAAAACTTATTGCTCGTGCCTTCTCAGAAACAGAGACCTCTGAGAAAGTTTGCTCGAGGTTTTTACTACAGAACTAGAGTAAATAAAAAATCACATAAGGTTTTATAGTTCCTTATATTATTGATGCAGTATAAGCTACACAATGCAATTTTAATACAGTTTTGGTAATCCAAAGCATAAATGAGATCTGCAATGACAGGTTAGATGACCATGACAATCCTCACCCACAAGAAGTATTATCCTTAACCTTATCCAGAGGACCTCATTTTCCATTGCATTCCCAAAACCATTCTACAAATCACTGGAAATGTCCAGTTTTCATCACTGGTGAGCAACTTCAAAAGAGGGCTGGTTTTCAAGTACAGTGACTTAGCAGTTTTGAGGTACTTTCAAAGGAGCTGCCTTTCACAGCTTGATTCTATTTAAAATCAGTAGTCACTTCTGGAAGGGTCTGCTTACCTATTTTTAAGGCTGCTAATGGAGTCCTGGCATTACCTATGCAGCCCTGGCCTACTGAAATACAAGTATCGAGTACTTCTTATCAACAACACTTGTTATATGTACACCTCCATTATTTTATCATAATAGCATGCACATGTACCTACAACGTTTTTCATCAGTGTATATGTTGGGAGTGTGACTTAATTAGAGGAGCCAGAATAGGGATATCTAGGTGTTATTACAAATGCTGTAATCTATACAGCCAAGTAACAGTTTATCCATATTGTCAACACTTCTAACTGCAGAAATCCTCATGGAGAATTTCAATTTCATTTTCATTACCTTCATTTTAAGATATACTTCAAATTCCCCCCATGTAAATGAGGCAAGATTGAAGCTATTTGCTTCAAACAGGCAAGGACAGGCAGAAGTATGATGTTTTCTTTTGCTGCACTTAGCGTAATTTGCACTGCTTTCTACCTATGGAGAACCTTACTCTTGGGATATATGGGCAACCTGATGTACGGAATTAAAAGTCTCTTCAATTTCTTCAGCAGTCTAAGATAACACTACTTTCAAGCAATAATTTTTTGTACTTCCAGTCACAAAAGTAGGTTTATGAGGTAATTAGAAGAACTTCTTTTGCTTATTAGAATCCCACTGATTACAGTTTCTGTTACTCAACAGTGTAGAATATAGATGTTTTGTGAAAGCAATACTAACAACATATGGATTCCACACCTTGATTAACAGTAATCCTCTAGCAAATAAGTATCAGTCAAAAAATAATTTTTGATTAGGCACTACAATCATCATGAATAATAAAAATGTGGGCAGGCCACACAGGCTGTGCACTGCAAAGGATGTTCTCTTCCAGCTGAAATAGGCTGAAATAGACCTCAATATAGAGTTTCTGCAATTACCATAGAGAGGTGCTACAGCTAAACCAACTCGGAATTTCATGGATATGTTTTCCCTTTACAACATTAATATGACTTTGAACCCTTGTCTGATCACTAAGGCTACAGCATGCATCAAAATACTGTGTGGCAGAAAATGTATAGCAAAGTGAAAGAAACAAAGTCTGATCCCAAAGCAAGAATAAAAGGTTTGCAGAAAACACAACTATTTAATCTGCACCCTTGCTAGCTACAGAAAGAAAGGCAAGGTGGAAATCAATACTCTCAATACAGAAAAACAAAACCCAAGAAACTTCAAAGGCTTTTAAGGTGTTGAGGGCATGTGTGCACATTAGCATACATGGCCTGTATGTATGTCATATTTAAAACTGGTATCTCTGGCTTTCTAGGTCGGTCCAACCTTCCAGTTTCAGGCACAGACATTGGAGCTGTGTCACAGAGCAAAGGCTTCTCACGCACTGTGTCCAACAGCACAGAAACCACCACAAATCTTCAAAGGCTCAGACAAAGGCAAATGGCATGTCATAACCCGATATCTAGATTTTGAAGTTCAGAAACACAGTATTTACTTATAGACTCCACCTTGTTGGATTCTAATGCCTCACCCAGACTGGGTATTTTTCTGCAAGACTGACAGCTAGACTTGGAGAAGTCAGATAAGTTTCACTATCACTCTGGAAAACAGCTGAGCAGGGTTGAATTTTGTGCTGCCTTTAAAAATTTGGCAAGGCTCACATTCTTCACCAGTATGATTAAAGGCTCAACCTATTCACCAGTGTTAAGAACGAACAAAATCCTGAAATAAATTTAAGACACTGAACAGAGTGAACACATCTATAGGCATCCCACACACAGAAGGTTGAAAAATCAAGGACAGTTATGACAAGCTTAGGGAAGGACTGATTTGGCTAATCTTCCATTACACATTTTGCCTGTTTACTCAAAACAGATTTTTGGAAGAAAGCTTCAACTTTCCAGTATAGTAGCATCTATCAGTTTTCCATTAGGTCTTATCACATTCAGAGCAAAATAAATACCACTGAAGCAATGAGCACCTACCTAGTGACTGCTCTGTTTATTCTTTATTGTTCTATGCATTGTCCCACATATTACCTACTGTACC